CGTCTGATCCCAGCGCGAACGCTTCGGTGTCTCGCCAGGCGCAGCGCCGCCGGCGACGGGCGTCTCGTCCCAGCGCGACCTGCGCTTCTTGGCGGGCGCCTCGCCGGTCCATCCATCCGCCTCTGTCCCCGCCTGCGTGGCGGTGGTGGCGGCGGTGGTGGACTGCTCCGTGGTCCCCGCCGCTTCCGGTGCGGCGACGTCCCACCTGCGCTTCCTCGCCACCCGTGGCGTCGCATCGGGAGCGGCCGAGCCGATGGGCTTGGCGTCGTCGTCGAGCGCCTTGCCGTTCTGCTGCTGCTCCTTGGCCTCCTTTTCCTTGGCCTCGATGATCCTCCTGACCCGCTCCTCTTCCCGCTCGAGCTCCGCCCGCCGCATCGCCTCCTTGTATCCGCCCTCGCCGCCGCCATCCTTGGCAAAGGGGTCGGACGCCGCCTCCTCGTTGACATCGCGGTTGAAGCGGCGGAGGTGGTAGTCGCTCTGTCGTGCCGCAGTCTGCCGGGACTCGGCGCGGCCCTGCAGCGGGTCCTCGTCGTCGTCGGCAAACTCGTGCAGCAGGTGCTGTGGCGCCGAATAGGCGTCCAGAGGATTGGCACGCCTTCCACCGCGACCTCCCTCATCATCGTCGTCGTCATCACCGTCGTCGTCGTCCGAACCGTTGCCGGAGCGTCCGCCGGCGCGGGAGCTGCCGACATCTACGGGCAGTTCGCGGACGTAGTCGCTCCTCTTGGCGCCGCCATAGATATCCTGGTCGTAGCCTCCGGCCTTGCCGAGGGCGATCTTGCCCTCTGTGGCGGCCTTGCGAGCCTCCTGCAATCGCCTGATCTCGTCGGCTTCGTCGGCCATGGCTAGAGCGGGCGGGCAGTGGGTGAAGTCGGAGCGTCAGAGATTCGTGTGAGGCGGGCCCTGTCGCGCGGAAGCGATCGCAGAGGGCGGGTGCCAAGGGTCTGCTGCGGAAGGCTGCAAGAGGCTGGGTCAAAGTGGCTGGGTGTTGGAGCGCGCTGGCCGGATGAAGCGATGTGGCGAGCCCGGTGAGCGCGGTGGTGGCCGATGGTGAGTGGGTCGGTGGAGGGTCAAACGTGGAGATGCGAGGGGGCCACCGTGGTGGATGTGAGCTGAGTGGCAAGAACCGGAGACCGGAGAGGGTCTGGCAGAGTCAGTCGACTGCGCGGGCGACTGGCCAGGCAGGGCCGCCGTCCAGAAAAAGGCCACAGGGCATCATTCGGCCGAGAAGGTCAAACACGGCATCTCTAGTCTACAGCACGGCCCCACGATGCTACCGCTTCAGCACGGTGAACTCGGCCACCAGGAAGGCGATGTAGGCGGCAAAGAGGATGCAGCCGTGCCACCTCGCGCCGCCGGCATAGGCGATGGCGACGAGGGCGGCCGAAGACGCTTCCAGCAGCGCCAGCTCCTCCCATCGGACGCTGTTGGCCGACGACGGCGATGGCCCCGGGGCGGCCGTGGCGATGGGCAGGGTGGGCAGGCCGCCGGCGCCCCTGTCAAAGATGAGCGAGACGCCGAGGCAGAGGGTGAGGAGGAAAATGTTGCTGCCCGCCGCTCCGGCCATGAGGATGCCGCTGGCCGCCGTGCCTTCGTCGTCAAAGCGGCGCTCGTCGTCGTCGAGCCACCGCGCCGACCGCGCCGCCGCCACCGCCGAGCCCGTCGATCCGCGCGCCCGGACCGGCGAGGGCTGCTGCGACCGCTGCGGACGCTGCTGACGCTGCTGCTGCGGCGCCATCGTCTGGGCCTGCTGCGACGCCACCTTCCTGCCCGCGACAACGCTGAGCAGCTTCTCGGGCAGCGTCGTGGCAAACGAGAGGAGCGTCAGGCCGAGGACCGTATCGGAGATGTGGAGCGAGCGTGCGAGGTCGAGGGTGGAGCGGGAGAGGAGGTAGCCCGAGAGCGAGAGGACGAGGAGCGCCCAGACGAGCTTGCGGGCGGCGCGGTGGATCGAACGCCGGTTGCGCGATCGCTGCCGGTTGGCGAGGCTGTTGGACGTGGCGCGCCCCACGAGGAGCGGCGTCGTCTCGGCCGCGGCCGCCGACGCCGTGTTGGCGCGCGAACCCTTTTGCGCCGAACGCAGCCGCGACTTGGGCGGCGGCGGCGGCGGCGGCAGCGAGGCGCCATCGCTCTCGCTGGCAAATGTGCGCGTGCTCACCGCATCGCTCTGGTCATCGTCGTCGTCATCGCCGTCGCCGTCGCCGCTGCGGCCTGGGCGGCGTCGTTGCGGGGCCGAGTCGGTGTCCGAGTCGCTCGAGTCGCTATCGCCATCGCTCTCGCTGTCGCTGCCCTCGGGCGGGTTGAGCATGCCCCGTCCAATGGCCCACACGACGCCGAGGACATAGAGGATAAAGACGATGACGAGGCTGACGCCGACGACATTCTCAAACACGCTGCGCGGCGACGGGGCCGGCGGGGCGACGAGGGCCGAAGGGCGGCGCGGATGCTGGCGGTGGTGGCCCTGGAACTGGACGACGAGGACGAGGGCGATGACGAGCGACGTGATGGCCAGCTGGATGGCGGCGAAGCGCTTGGCGCTGTAGTCGAAGCGGACGCGCTGGGGCGAGGCGAGCAGGCCGAGCGAGAAGGCGCCGAGGATGTTGGAGATGCTCGAGCCGAAGACGTTGCCAATGGCCAGCGTCGAAGCTCCATGGCCGAGTGCAGCCACCACGACGGCGAGCTGGCGGTCAGAAGGGTGGAAAGCGGGGGGGGAACAAAGGGGGGTGGGTGAGCAAGGGTTGCGGATGAATGCTGTCCGCAGGTTGCCATCGTCTCAAGGCGCTGGCTCACCTCTTCCCACTCTGCGCCGGCGGTGAGGATGGCGATGAGCGACGGGCTGACGCTGGTGACGCGTGCGAGGTGGGCGACCTGGTCGATGAACTGGTCGGCGGAGCGCTCGAGGAGGATCAGGGCGGCGCCGAATACAGCCGCCGGGTAGCCGATGCCGCTGGCGGGCGAGGGCGGCTGCGACGACTGCGCCGCTGCCATGCCGAGATTGATGCTGCGATGCGGTGCGCACAGAGGAGCAGGCGAGCCGGGTTCTTGCTCGTTGCTCCGATATCAGCGGGGCTGCGCGCAGAGTCGGGATCGGAAGGGCTGGGATCGATGGAGCGCGTTGGAATGGATGGACGACGTGGTTGGTGGTCGAGACGACGACGGAGGCCGCCTCGTCTGCCAACACGCCGCGCAGAAGAAGCTGCCGCCGCCGTCGTGTGGAGGGGGCAGAGAGGCGCACAGACGCCCGCTCAGTCGCCCGTCCGTCCGTCCTCCTCCCATCCCCCCGCTGGCTCGCTTCGAGGGGCAGGCACGTAGATCGATAGGCAAACTTCGACGGCCGCCGACGCCACCACCAAGGCGAGAGAGAGAGGCTCACTGATGTCGACGCACGAGAGCAGGCACGCCGCCGAGCTGGCATTCGACAGAGAAAGATATAGAGAGACAAGATCGCATGGCTCGCCCCCGCCTTGGCGCGCGCACTAGCTCGAGTAGTCGAGGCCCTCGCCAAAGCCGCCAGTGAAGCCACTGCCCGCACCGGGTCCACCGTATCCTCCGTCGCCCCCGCCACCGCCGCCGCCAACGAGGGGCGGCGTGAGATCGGCAATGTCAAACAGGTTGATGTCGCGCTCGGCGCACCGCGCCGCCAGGTCGGAGCGGTTGAGCAGCTCGAGCGACACGCGGAACGTCTCCCACAGGCTGCCCGACGTCGGCCCAGACTTGACCGCCGAAGACGTCGACGGCGACGGCGAGCGCGACCGCCCCACCGAGTCGAGTGTCTCGGTCTCGGCCTGCTGCAGCGTCAGCGCCGTGTAAATGTGCGTCGCCGCGTCCTGGTACATCTGTCGACGACGAGTCAGACGCAGAGGCAGACAAAGGGGGCCATCCAAGGTCAGCGAGGGGGGAGAAGCAGCAGCAGCAGCATCAGGAGAGGGTGCCCTCGTCCACCGTGGCAACCTCGGCAACTCACCTTCAGATTGAGACAGCTGATGCTGAGGTTAAAGTGGCAGCGCACAAACTCGGGCTGCAGCTGCAGCGCGTGGTGGTAGTAGCCGATGGCCTCGTCGCTGCGGCCCGAGTTGCTCAGCGTGGCGCCGAGGCGGTTGTAGAGCAGCCAGTCGTCGGGCCGCACCTGGAGCGCCGACGAGAAGCAGTCGACGGCCTTGGCATAGTCCTCGGACGAGTTGAACAGCACGCCCAGCGCCACCTGGACGTCGGCGTCGATGGCCTCGGGCGACGAGCGCGCCATGGCGATCAGCAGCGACGTCAGCTCGGCGTGCCGCTCAAACAGGCTCGCCGTCGACGCGTGCGACGACGCCGAGTCGCTGCGCACGCGCGACTGGGCCTGCTCCTTGGCCTGCGCCGACGCCGCCAGCGACGCACGGTGCGCGCCGACGACCTCGCGGTACCGCTCGTTGGTGTCGATCCAGCGCTCGATGGCCTCGTACGCCGCCGAGCGGTCGTTTTCGTTGGTGTAGCTCACCGCCAGCGCCAGCCAGGCGTCCTTCATCGAAGGGTCGAGCGCAATGGCCTTCTGCAGGGCGGCGATCGCCTGCGCCTCGCGCTCGTTTTCCTGCTGCTTGACGCCGAGGTCGAACCACAGCGCGGCGTTGGTCGGGTCCGCCGCCACGGCCGCCTCGCGCTCCAGCACCGACTCGAGGCTCGCCGGCATCGACTGGGCCGTGTGGGCGGCGTGGTGGCGCGTCGACTGCAGGTACGGGTTCGACGACAGGAAGCGGTAGTCGGGCGCCGTCTGCGCCGACAGCGGCGGCGCCTGCTGGGCGACGTTCTTGACCTCGCGCGTGTACGGGTTGCGGCCCTGGGCGCGTCCCTGGGCGCCTGCGACGGGCCGCATCCCGGCCGACGTCACCTCAAAGTCGTCCCAGTCGGCCTGCAGCTTGTCCCACTCGGCCGCCTGCGCCCCATTGACGCCGCGGCCCTTGGTGCCCTCCCAGCGCTTGCCGACAAAGTCCTGGTCGTCGTCGTCGGCGGTGGTGGCGGCATCGCGCGACAGGTCCTCCTCCCAGCGGGCGCCAAAGGTGCGCGCGTGCGGGATGTTGGCGCCGAGGCGCTGGTACCGCTCGTACTCGTTGAGCTCGGCGTCATCCTCGCGCATGCGCTCCGCCACGTTGCCCGCGTCGCCGACAAAGGCGCGCATCTGCTCGTCGATGGCCTGCTTCTCGATGGCCTCGGAGCGCGCGTCCTCCTCGGCCCAGAGGTCGTTGAGCGCCTGCCGGTTGGCCATCTCCTGGTCGGCCGAGAGCGTCGGCGGGATCATTGGCTGCGTGCCGGACCGCTGCTGCGCGCCGCTGACCTGACCGAGGGCCCGCTGCATGCTGGGCGGCAGCTGGCCGGCGCGACCCTGCGACGCCATCTGGTTGGCCCACTGGTAGGCCTCCTGCTGCGACTGCGGTCGCTGGTCGGACAGCGGCTCGCTCGCGCGGCCCTTGCCTTTGTCGACCGAGGCCTCGCCGCCTGGGACGTAGCCCTGCTCGACGATGTCGGTGCCCTGGATGCCGGCCTGCTTGTCGCGGATGCGGCGCATGAGGTCGAGGAAGTTGCTCTGCTTGAACTTTGCGCTCTGGTCGTGTTCGACCGACGAGACCAGGCGGCCGGCGGTGCGCGCCAGCTCGTCGCGCTCGTAGGGGTCCGAGTGGTCCTGGTGCGTGGCGGCTGTCTGGGCGGCAGCGGCCGGGCACACCTCGATGTGGGCGGCGGCGTCGGGCGGCGGCGGTGGCGTCTTTGAGCGGTCGTAGGCGGTGAAGGCGTCGTTCCACTTGCCCTGTTGGACGCTGTCGACGGTGGTGGCCGCTGCCTGGGACGACTCGGCCATGGGCGAGTGCACGGGCATCTGCTGCATGGCTGCGCCGCTGTTGAAGCTCGACATGCCCACGCCCGCGCCCATCCCCATGCCCATGCCCATGCCGGGCGGGACGTGGACGGGATGCTGCATCGACGAGGCGTGGTGGGTCATGGGCCCGCCGTACATCTGGTGCGCCATGAGCGAGTGGGTGGGCCCGGGTCGATGCTGGTTCTGGGGCTGTTGCTGCTGCGGCGTCGCGGCCGATGCGGTGGGTGCCGGCCCCATTTTGAGAAAGTCGGCGGCCCATGCCGGAGTGGCGGCGCTGGTAAGCGGTGGCGGCGGCGTGGCCGACTGAGGGCCTGGGGCCCGGAAGCTGGCCTCAAAGTCGGGCCTGGGCGCATTGAAGGCCTGATGCCGGAAGGCTGCCGACGACGAAGGCGACGACGACGACGAGGCCACTGATGGCTGCTGCTGCGGCGCGAATGGCAGGTTGCCACGCAGCTGCGCCACGTCGAACGGATCGTGCTGCTGGGACTGTGCCAGGGGCGAAGGGGCGTGGAAGAAGGCCGGATTCTGCTGCTGGTGCTGCTGCTGCTGGTGCTGGTGCTGCTGGTGCTGCGGATGAGCCGAGCGAAACGAGCCAGAGGGGGACGCTGCGGGACCTGCGCCGCCAAAGGTGTCCATCTGCGTGCTGCGGTCCTGCCCGAAGCGCTTGCCCATGTTCTGCAGCGGGTTCGACGGCCCGCAGGCCGCACCGCCCGAGACCAGGTCCGACAGCGACATGGTGAGGTCGCTCGCTCGATATCGGAGCTCGCTCCCCTTGAAACTGAGGCTGGGGTCGCGGGCGTGCACAAATAGGCGGCGACGGTGGTGGCCTTGTTTCTGAAGCGGCGGGCCGTCGAGTAGCCCGCCCAAACGAGGCAGGCCCTGGACAGCGGCGAGCCTGACGAGAGCGGCCGCTCGACAAAGGAAGGCAGGATCTTGGAGCGCGACCTCCAGGCGATCGTCCGAGGTCCGAGTGGATGTGGATGTGGCGTCGAGTCGCTCGGTTCGTTTGCGTTTCGTTTGGCGTGGTGTGCTGGGGCGTGGTGGGTCGGTAGGAGGAGGAGGTCGACAAGGCCGCCGCCCGGCCGCGCGCCCATGGGTGGTTCGGGTCCAGGGCAAGCCTCGCTCTTCCCCGCGCCCGCTCGCTCCCCAGCCTCGCTCGCTGCCACCGGCAACCGGCTTCCAGAAAACCTTGGTCGGGCTGGCTGCAGGCCTCGCCTCGCTGCCCTCGCTCAGTCAACTCAACAGCCTAGCCCCTCGCTCACTCGACCCGACCGACCGGCCGGCCGGCTGGCTCTCTCGAACCCTTGAGCCACTCGGCCGAGTTCCGAGAAAGGCAACCCAAAGCGACTGCCGCGTGAAATCCAGCCAACGCGGCCCAGCCCCAGCCGCAGCCGCAGCCACAACGGGCGCAGCCAGCGGCCTCTGTCTCTGCCTCGTGTGGGGGGCGAGCCGGCCATGGCCACCGCCATGCCACCAAACATCGCCAGCCCAGTTCTTGCCACAAGAGGGGGGGAAGAGACAAGGGGAGATGCGTCCTATTGGTGCGACGTCAAAGCGGTGGCAAAAAGAGTCAAGGAGAAATACAGCGAGGCAGGATGCCGACGTGGCCAGAGCGGCAGACGTCTCCAGCAGAGAAGGGAGAGGGACGCGAAGGCCTAACAGGGATGTGTGCTGGGTCCGGAGCCGTGGGAGTGCAGCCATGCAGAGGGAAGGGGGAGAGAGAGAGAGAGAGAGAGAGGAGGGAGGGACGGAGT